TGACTCGAAAACTACTGTGAAATCGGAGGGTCATCCGACTTCTATGTACTAATTTTAATTTTAAATTGCAAAGAAGTTAAAACGCGATGTACAAGAAAACCCTGACCTGAGCTAATAAATATAATAAACAGTTTGTACGAATTTTGCACGATCGTACAGTCGTGGTCACTATGCTCGCTCAAAAATATAAAATACAACCAGTTCCCGTGTCGCTTCGGACCATTCGTCCTACGACATGATGGGAACCGGAGGAATCGTAAAGCATGCGACTCACCGATCGTTGACTTGCATCATTGCGATCGTTTTATCGGTAGGCATCTGAGACTGCACGTGTGGGAGGCATTGCATCTTAGAGGTTGATTGACTGATTGATTGGTTGGCTGATTGATTGATTGACTGCTTGGTTGGTTGGCTGCTTGGCTTCGTCAGATTTGGATGTGGCGGTTTGGCAGTGGACCCTCTGTAATCATAAAAGAATCACAACGATTAATTAACTGTGTTTATCGATTTGTATTTTGATAACATATATGTTTTTTGACTACTACTCATGCAAACATGTAATAAGCTTTGATTTTGAGATGTAAAAACATATAGAGGCATGCAGGAGTCGGTTATAAATTTGCAAACGTTCATGTCACAACGTGAAATATTGTGAAATAATTGAAATTGCATGTCAAAACTCTTGGGTAATTACTTTAGAGAGCTTGTTAGAACGTTTGCAAAAATATACCGGAACATGTAGGTAACTACAGTTTAAGTATCAGTAACAGTTTGTCAAAACATTTAAATAACCACTACATAAAGTACACTATGGTATCAGTAATCGTTTGTAAAAACATTTAAATAACCACTACATAAAGTACACTACAACACCAGTAACAATATGTCAAAACACTTAAATAATCATTGCATAAAGTACACTAAAGCACCAGTAACAATATGTCAAAACATTTAAATAATCATTGCATAAAGTACACTGAAACACCAGTAACAATATGTCAAAACACTTAAATAACCATTAAATAAAGTGCACTAATAACCACTAATAATTTGTAAAAACACTTAAATAATCACTCCACAAAATACATTAAACCAGTAAAAAATTAATAAAACACTTAAATAACCGCACCATAAAACACACTAATAAATTCGTATACACGTGCGTAATCACTTAATAAAACACACAAGTAAAGTCACTGACACTTGTAGAATTACACCATAAAATTTGTTAATACACCCCCATAATTAATAAAAAATATTAAATAATGCACACTAAACACTGTTATTAATACACTAGGTACATTTATATATCCGTATATGCATGCAGGTAACACACCATTAAAGTCACTGACACTTGTAGAATTACACCATAAAATTTATTAATACACCCCCATAATTAATAAAAAATATTAAATAATGCACACTAAACACTGTTATTAATACACTAAATACACTTATATATCCGTATATGTATGCAGGTAACACATTGTTAAAGTCACTGACACTTGTAGAATTACACCGTAAAATTTATTAATACACCCACGTATTTATTAAAAAATATTTGTTAAAGCACACTAAATACTAGTAGTAGTACAGTAGGTAAGACAGGGACAAGCACAATATCGAATTAGTGGATCCTTGACTCGTACCGGTAAGTGTTGACAGGTGAGGTCCGACTTCCTCGACTTCCAAAATAAAACTGAAAGCATTTGACCTCCCTCTACTGTAAGAGTTATTGGTTGTTAACAACAGCCAATTAGACATCGTATAATCTACCAATAGATCAAATTCGATCTCCTCGAGTGTAATAGTGATTGGTAGTGTACACTAACCAATTAGACATCATCTAATCGACCAATAGCGTGCAACCACTCTGATTGGATGTTGTATAACTATTCTAACGTTAATTTTTTTACAATTTTATATTTTTCGATTGTTTATTAACAAATTTATTGCTGCAATTATTTAAATTTATTATATTTTTTAACTTACTTAAATTTATTGTTGTAATTGTTTAAATTTATTATTTTTTTTAAGTCACTCTTGCAGATATTTTGCAAAATGATTGTCAATTAATATATTACGATATATTTTACTGTAATTAATAATTTTTGAGTTATTTATTTATAAAATTGTTGTTGTAACTATTCAAATTCATCGTTTTTTATTAACTTACTCTAGCAGATATGTTGTAAAATGTTTGTCAATTAATATATTACGATATATTTTAGTGTAACTCATTATTATATAAATTAATTATTGTAATTCATTATTTCCATAATATTACAATATATTTTACTGTAATTAATAATTTTTTAGTTATTTATTTATAAAATTGTTATTGTAACTATTCAAATTTGTCATTTTTATTAACTTACTCTAGCAAATATGTTGCAAAATTATTGTCAATATATTACAATATATTTTGCTGTAATTAATAATTTTTTAGTTATTTATTTATAAAATTGTTATTGTATCTATTCAAATTCGTCGTTTTTATTAACTTACTCTTGCAGATATGTTGCAAAATAATTGTCAATTAATATATTACGGTATATTTTAAAGTAACTCATTATTATACGAGTGTTTGTCGGAGACGAAGTGCGCGAGTGTTGCGGAGCGAAGGCGCGCTCAAGAAGAACAACAGGGCGTAAATTCATTCGTGCCGGATGATAGCGATAAGCGACGGGAGAACGGGACGGCGCGGCGGTCACTCGAGGTTTACCTCTCAAGCACGGACGAGCTATTCGAACAAAAATTCTGTACCGTTCTGAAAATAAATAAAGAGAGAGGAAAAAAGTTATAAAAGTTATAAAAGTTATAAATTAATTATTGTAATTCATTATTTTCATAACTTTCTCGCGCGAATATCTTGTAAATTATCTACGAATTGTATTTAAATTTATTTTTATGTAATTCTTTATAATTACCTATTACCGAAGAGACTCAGTATAGCAAACTGTTTTGAACACATAATAGTTTCACATTATTCGAAAAGTTTCATTCATATGTGTTGTTAAAAATTCAAATTTACGCGCGGTTTTTTAAAAAATGACGTCATCAACGAAAATGGAACCAGTAGCGCCATCTCTCCGGCGAACAGGGTGAACTACACGGTTTTGAAACTGCAGCTTCAGTAGTTCTCCACACTGCCACTGGACGGCGCCACGTGTATCGTTCTCCATTAAATTCAATTATTATACTTGATTTTATTAGTATAATTGAATATAATATGCATCAATTGTTTTGACTTTATTAAATATATTTTCAAATTCAATATATTTTGTAGAGCAATCATTTTGGTATATTCTTTACTTTTTCAACTTTTCAAAGGCTGTAAAATTGATAAAAGTACCTCAAAAAACAATATTAGTAATATTCATCAGAAAATTTATTCAAAATATATTCTAAATTATTGGAGATTGCCATGAAAGTAGATTCGCTCGATTTAAATTTCCCGCTAGTTTGCGCAATCATTTAAAGGGACAGCGCTTCCGAGAGATCAAAGGCGCCGACAGAGAGTGTAGCCTCTGGTATACTCTGGCTGTAGCCGCTTAATTCTCCTAAATGAATGATGCTATTTGTCATTACTGTTTAAATACAGTTTATATAATATTAATGAAATATGTACAGATTGTCAAGTTGTAAATATGCTATTTTTAAGTAAGTTGTTCATTTTATTTTATTTGGATAAATAGAGCGACATCTGCGGAAGTTATAATTCCTCTTACGAACTATCACATCGATTTAAAACACGGAGTAGCGAAGTACTCCGATGATAAGGTTCTCGTCTTCAGTGGAAATAGTACATAACCGAGATAGTGAGGTAACAGTATACTTAACCCGTACAAAGTAAACATTTTCCGATACAAACATTTAATTCTTAGATAAACATCTCACTCGATTTAATCATTTCGTGGAAATATAATTTGTGCAATTCATGGTGACTGCGTTCCGTATTTTTGTTCTACGTACACATCTACATCAGATACTTCCTAAGAGATGACAGCGTAGTGTGATCGAAACCGGGTTCAAGAGTGTATCGTTGATTCTCATCGAGAAGAATATATCAGTAAGTATATCATATTTTTCATTTCCGTAAAGATTGTATCTTTTTTACAAACAAAACATTTAGGTAAATTATGTTGTACAGTTGTGGTAATGAACCTGTCTCGAGTTATTTGAAACAATAGTGATTGGTTTAACGTTGACCTTGATACACAGTTCAAGATAGTGGTAATAATGTAATTGTCCGTGTGATGATAATTGCATTATAGTCAATGATGTATTTGTGTGTTATGATTCATAATGTGCAATGATTCTTAACACCATTCTTTTTTTAAAATGAAATAATTTTTTGGGGGAATTAAAAAAAATACTGAAATGTCATTTTCAAATTGCGCGGTATTTTGATACTGTCAGTTGAGATATTAATTACGGATGTTTTTCTTGTAACAGATACGTAGGTGATAAACTTTTAAATTGCGTGATTTTTATTCGAGTAAATTCAAAATAAATAAATATAATTAAAATATTTTTATTAAGTAGCATAGTAATTTATTAAATAACAAATAAATATAATTAAAATATTTTTATTTAATAACAGGTTATTGCGAGCTAAGATACAGGATGAGTAATGACATCAAAAGAAGTGTTAATTATTAAATTTTTATTTTAAAGATTGAAATGGCATTATTGTATAGTGGAATTTGTAGAAAATGTATTAAATATTTTTGTTGATAATTTATTTTAGTTAACAATTATGTTGAGATATATTTATTAATAATCAAAACAATAAAATTGCTTCTGGATGTAGATATATAATGAGATTTATGAATCCATGGACATAGGAATATAGGGTTTAGGAATCTAAATCAGAAATATATTCTAAAACTTTTCTCTTCTATGTTTTTATCTAATCTCCCTTTATCTTTTTACAATATCAAATACTCGATAAATTGATAACCTATATTTAACAGTTCATAAACTAATTAAGATCTTAATTATAGGAAGCAAATTGCAATGAGGATAAGATAAAGACGAAGTAAACTAACGTCTGTACACACGGTGTGACCTATTTTAATTTTTAAAGATAACTATCGCTCAAATTATGTGTCTTTAATAATTCAAATAAAAATGTATCAAATTACAATATTATAAAAATGAATAATTTGTAATATATTTCAAATTAAAAATAAAAATATTTCATGTACAAAGTTATATTTTACGAACTAAAATTAATATTCATTTCTCAATTGGTAAAATTATTGTTGCATGATTTTAATAATTAAAGAGATACCGCTGATCTAGAAATCTCGGAAGGCATCTCGAGAATGACATGTAATAACACTTTACCTCTTCAAGCAAACCATTAATCATGTTTTACCATCGACGGTGAATGGAAAAAAGATACTTTTACAAAGTAAGTAAGGTACTGTAGCATTTCCAGCGACTATACAAAGATGACTTGTACTGCTATGTCCGGTTATTGACCTGCACAAGGTTGCGGTTGCAGAATCAGAAAGTCAACACTTTGTCGGATGTTTTTATGATTTATGACTCTTTCAATTTCCTTCCCTTCGCTTAAAATCAGATTATGTTTTAAACGGTTTCATTCCTACAAATTCATAAAATTTTTAATTTCCAAATTTCCAAAATTCTAAATTCCCAAGATTCCAAATTGCCAAGATTCCAAATTGCCAAGATTCCAAATTGCCAAGATTCCAAATTGCCAATATTCCAAATTCCCAAGATTCCAAATTCCCAAGATCCCAATTCCCAAGCTTTCAAATTCCCAAGCTTCCAAATTTCCAACATTCCAAATTTCCAAGATTCCAAATTCCCAAGATTCCAAATTCCCAAGATCCCAAATTTCCAAGCCCAAGATTCCAAATTCCCAAGATTCCAAATTCCCAAGATTCCAAATTCCCAAGATTCCAAATTCCCAAGATTCCAAATTCCCAAGATTCCAAATTCCCAAGATTCCAAATTCCCAAGATTCCAAATTCCCAAGATTCCAAATTCCCAAGATTCCAAATTCCCAAGATTCCAAATTCCCAAGATTCCAAATTCCCAAGATTCCAAATTCCCAAGATTCCAAATTCCCAAGCTTCCAAATCCCCAAAATTCCAAATTCCCAAGATTCCAAATTCCCAAGATTCCAAATTCCCAAGCTTCCAAATCCCCAATTTTCCGAATTCCCAAACTTCCAAATCCCCAAGATTCCAAATCCCCAATTTTCCAAATTCCCAATGTTCCCAAAATTTCCCAAAATTTCTCAAAATTCCCAAAATTCCCAAAATCATAAATGTATTAAAAGATCGAGTCAATGTTAATTATTGCAATACCATAAATATTATATCACTGCAATAAAATTTTGTAACCAAGTTCAATTTCCTCAACTACAAGCTTGAAATTGAATAAGCATATTATGTCAATTTACAGGAAATACAATTCGGTAAATCTTTCTCGTTCGCCGAATTTATGAACATCAAACAATGGCTACCTACCTAGAGATTCTCTGTGGACTAATAGCCATATGTTTGGCGTTTTACTATTACTTCCTTTCGGTCCTCGATTTTTGGAAAATTCGAGGTGTTCCTGGACCGAAACCTCTGCCATTGCTGGGTAATATCAAGGATGTTATGTTAATGAAAATGTCGATGAGCGATTACTTGAGGAAAATTTATCACGAGTACAAAAACGAGCCTATGGTTGGAATATTTGCTAGAAAAACACCGATATTGGTTCTGCAAGACCCTGATCTTATAAAAGACGTACTGATAAAGGATTTTTCTAAGTTTGCTAATCGGGGACTTCCTGTGCTGGAAAAGGTATAGTAAACAAGTTATTTTAGTTTTAGTGGAGATTTTACAATTCTCAGATTACCAAATTTCTGAATTTCCAAAATTCAAAATTTCCAAGATTTCAAATTCCCAAGGTTCCAAATTCCCAATATTCCAAATTCCCAAGATTCCAAATTCCCAAGGTTCCGAATTCCCAAGATTCCAAATTCCCAAGATTCCAAATTCCCAAGATTCCAAATTCCCAAGATTCCAAATTCCCAAGATTCCGAATTCCCAAGATTCCAAATTCCCAAGATTCCAGATTCCCAATATTCCAAATTCCCAAGATTCCAAATTTCCAAGATTCCAAATTCCGAAGATTCCGAATTCCAAGGTTCCAAATTCCCAATATTCCAAATTCCCAAGATTCCAAATTCCCAAGATTCCAAATTCCCAAGATTCCAAATTCCCAAAATTCCAAATTCCCAAGATTCCAAATTCCCAAAATTCCTAAAATTCCCACAATTCCCAAAATTCCCAAAACTCCCAAAATTCCCAAAATTCCCAAAATTCCCAAAATCCCCAAGATTCCCAAAATTCCCAAAATTCCCAAAATCCCCAAAATCCCCAAGATTCCCAAATCAATTCTATTTCACCCCATCTAAACAAGCCCCTCCAAAAACCAATTTCACTAAAACCATTACCCTCAAAACTCAACATCTACAAATTAAAAAAATAATTCCAGATAGAACCACTCTCTCCTCACCTCTTCAACCTGGAAGCAGAAAGATGGCGGCCCCTGAGGACCAGACTCTCGCCAGTTTTCACGTCCGGCAAAATAAGGGAAATGTTCCCGCTCATATTAGAATGCGCCGATCATTTAGAACAATATCTAGAGAAAATCGTAGCAAGAGGAGAGCCCATCGAATGCCGCGAATTGACAGCAAAATATACGACAGACGTAATAGGAAGCTGTGCGTTCGGCATCGAAATAAACGCAATATCCGACGATGAAAGCGAATTCCGTCGAGTAGGTAAATCGGTGTTCGCCACCAATTTCTTGCAACTTGTGCGATTCCGAGCTAGGCAGATGTTCCCGACTTTTTATAATTTGCTCGGTTACGTGTTACCGTCGTCAGAAGTAACGACGTTTTTTACTAAAGTTATTGTGGACACCATGAGGTATAGAGAAGAGAATAATGTTACTAGGCCTGACTTCGTTAATATGCTTATAGAGCTCAAGAAACATCCGGATAAACTAGAAAATGTCAGTAAGTACAGCGTGACAGGGAACAGTTTGTATTATTTATGACAATAGAATGAAAATATGAAAATTTTGCAGAATTGACGGATAGTTTGCTGACCGCTCAAGCTTTCGTCTTCTTCATCGCCGGGTTCGAAACCTCCTCTACGGCTATTAGCAATGCTTTGTACGAATTGGCGTTGAACCCTGAAGTACAGGACAAACTGCGGAAGGAAATTAAGGAGATGTATGATAAAAATAATGGAGAATTGCAGTATGAGAAAATAAAGGATATGGAATATTTGGATTTAGTGTTTAAAGGTACGTCATCGTTAATGATGAAGTATAGTATACTTCATAGGGTAGAAATAATAGGAACTTTGTTTTGTAGAAACTTTAAGAAAGTACCCACCTGGACCACTGCTGCTGAGAAGATCAATATGCAAGTATACCTTTGAAGGTACAAAAATTACAATACCGGCAAAACAATTTATATGGATACCAATATATGCAATTCAGCGGGATCCGGATATTTATCCAAATCCTGATGCTTTTATTCCTGAGAGGTTTACTGAGGATGCTGTTGCAGCCAGACATCCTATGCATTATTTGCCCTTTGGAGATGGGCCAAGAAATTGTATTGGTATGTTTAAATTTTAAATTTGTTTTAATTTGTTGAGTCAATTTTGAATAAAAACCTTAGAGTCAATTCTGAATAAAAACCCTCCGATCGGAATCGCGAAATAGTCAACAAAGTTAGGTCAATAACGCCATTCTTCAATGAGAATAGTACCGCGAAATTTAAATCGGAAAAAGCAGCATACTTTTCTTTTTAAAAGATAACAATTGTATGAATTTCTTTCTAATATTGCAGTTAGTAACTTTCTAAATATTATTTTTAATGTTGTCTACATATGTTACAGGAGCTCGGTTTGCAATTTATCAATCCAAAGTTGGACTCATAAAAATACTTCGCAATTACAAAATCGATGTCTGCGAGAAAACTATGATTCCGTACGTAATTGACCCAGCTGCCTTCTTGCTGGCACCGAAAGGAGGAATATATTTGAAAATAACAAAAATAGAGAGTTAATAGTTGCAAAAATTTAAGTGGTATATAAATATATACTTCCTGTTCGTAATTCTATGAATGTAAAATATTAAAGAAAAGTGGTGGTATAGGGATGCAACCTACTATACAAAATTATCTTTTGTAAATATTAAATATAAATTCGAATGTGATTTTACAATAGATAATCTTGCAATAAATTACAATAGATAGACTTTATTAAATTAGCAGAGTAAAATTCGTGGTATAAATTATTAACTATAAAATGCAGCAAACTTATATCTTCCTTGTTTAGTGTCATATATTCAGAATTTTTGTATAACTTGCATCATTTTATTATAAGTAGTGAAATAGTATATCAGCAAGTTATTTGAGATTATTTCGTTATGTTTATGAAAAGTCTTTTACTAAGATTTTATGTTATAACTTATTTTACGATTTCTACAATTAGTACAATTTGCTTCATTTTCTTCTTTTTTGCAACTATTAACTTTTTCAAACTACTTAAAACATATTTTTTTTCAATATCAAAAATCAAAAAATACTCGAAAGTCTAATGTCATTATGTATAGATACAAATATAAAGGTTATGATCCCTAGAGAATGTATTTTTTCATAATCACTTTTTGGATAAATAAATGAATGACTATATTTTTCAAAATGTATAAAAACATATTTCATTTATTAAATAAGAAATATATCTTTCATACTTTTATGAATTATCTATATCTAGCCTATAAGAAAAATTTTGTAGCGATAAATAATGAATGTAATAAAAAATCTAATTACGTTTATACATATAAAATGTTTGAAATAACATGATGTACTTCCTTGATACATAATAGCATTTTTTCTTATAATTAGTATATTTATTTTTTCTAAGTATCAGATCATGTTTTCAAATACCACATAATTAATTTCATTCATTTAGCAGATATTATTTGCAGCTGCATATAAATGCAACCACTTGTAACTGCAGAGTAAATGTATAATTTAGTTGTATAAAATTAACCATTGTACGACCGACTCATTGCCAACACATGTATCACAAATTCAAACATTCTAATCATAGTTTCCAAAGTCCTCATCTAGCCTCCTGTATCCACTGAGTCATTCTGTCCTCTACACTATTGCTCTAACACCGATCATTGCACCGATAACTAACCATATAAATAAAGCATTTTGGCCACTGGTCAGTTCTCTGTAATACTCAGCATTCGAAAGATACTGTTCACAATAAAACCTTGAAGTCTCGTTTAAAACGTGTTTGTTATTCATAATATTATAAAGCAAAGTAACGCGTTTATCTTAAATAACACTCTGGAGGTAAGAGATCAAATTAGGTCAATGTATCAGCATTGAAACACACATTATTGCCATATATATAAGTATCGCACACATAAAGGTATTGCATTTGCCTATACTGTTACACTACACATATATTTTGTTAAAACACAATCTTTAATCTAATTGTTCATGACCTGTAAAATTTGAATCTTCCCGTGAATCACCGCGTAAATGATTGATGATGTGTGTTGGCACTATACAGATTTTCTAATGGACTCATTCTCGCAGTTAACTTCTCGATTGTAGGAAAGAGGGACGCTAAATAACCGATCGGCCATGATGTTAAGTTCTATGAATCTCCATCGTCCAGTTGTGTGTCGGAAGAAGGTACGAGGTGATCATTATGAAATCACCGTGGGAACGTTAATTCTAAACAAACGAATATAAAGGATGGAGATCATCGAATAACCAGTCACTTGATGTAGGTGGCACAACTGAATCGTTCAATACGTGCAACGTAGTTGTTTACACTACATGAATTCGTTGAACAACTTGTCACGAGAAAAAGCGGATATTTAACACCATGGAGAACGAAAACAAGGGTGGCACTGATTTTTTACACAGATCAAAACGGAAAGGAACTGCTTTGAACGAGGAATTAGAATACTGGATGACTCGACTTCCGGAAGCGTTGAAAACAGTACCCATAATACATTTGGCAATACCCGGTACGTTTGAAATACTATTTGTCTCTATAAAACATATCACGTATTAACAAGTGTTATTTATATTTCATTTATTCTTTTTTATTAAATTATTATTTTCTAAAATAGCTGATCTAAAGTTCTACAAGTCTGAAGTTTTAAAATTTACCATTTCAAGTATAAAAATTTCAAAATTAAAAATTCTAAAATTCCAGCATTCCAAATTTAAAAATTCTAAAGTTCCAAATTTGAAGTTTCAAGTCCAAAATTACAAAATAATTTATTTTTAAAGGAAGAGGGTATGATTAAATGAAAAATATGGTTTTACTATTTTTATATCGTTTATATTTTCATATTTAACTCGACCCACCCAAAATCAGCTCGCGATCCACACTTTGGGAATCTCTGGATTATATTATATTATACAATTGAAATGGTAAAACATCGACGGTATTTACCGTGTCATTCGTTTTAAAAAGTAAGATCCATGAGTCATATTCAGAATATTTAAGGCCTCATTTTACACAACTACATCAGCCATAAAAAGTTAAACGGAATACATGTAATCTATTGTTGATTTCTAACAGGTTCTCACAATACAATGACTTATACTATATCGAAGAATAATGGTGTCGGACCCGACGAACCGAGATACATCAGGGCCCTCGGTCGCTACTGCTCGATCGTCTCAAAACCCATTATTTTTAATTGGTCTATTACGCAACACGATAACGTTAAGGATCAGCTGAACGGCGGTATACGATATTTGGATTTACGTGTTGCCACGAAACCACAGAATGGTGATATTTATTTTGTTCATGGTTTATACGGATCGAAAATATATCAACCATTGCAAGAAGTGGCGGGATGGCTGTCGTCGCATAGCAACGAGATCGTAATTTTGGATTTTCAGCATTTCTATTCGTTCTCTGAAATGGACCATCGTCATCTCGTGGAAACGATTTTCCGAATATTCCAGACAAAATTGTGTCCAATAGCTTCTACGTTTAATCATATAACGTTAAATTGGCTTGCTCTGGAAAGGTATCAGGTTATAGTTATTTACAGAAACATATACGCGCAAAATTATTCGAACTTGTGGCCAAGTGGCTTGTGGCGAACCCCATGGCCCAATACAGTTCATGTAAGAGAACTTATAGATTTTCTCAATGCTGAATTACAGACACGACCTTTGGATATCGGTTTTGTATCGCAGTGTCTTTTAACACCCGACATGCCTTTCGTGCTGAAACATTTATGCGGTACGCTGCAAACAAATTTAGTACCACAATGCCAGAAAGCGATTCTTTCTTGGATAAATCAAAAACGACCTGGCCGAGGTGGCCTGAATATTGTTATAGCTGATTTCGTGTCAGATACAAATTTCTTATTTTGTAAAACTGTTATCGAAAGTAACAAAAAATTTCTTAATTTATAGGTAGTCTATGTAAAATATTTTGTACTTCAATATGCACATGAATAGTCGAGTTGATTGTGATAAATTATTTTCAACGCTATATTATGCATTTTGAATGCAAAAGTACACCAACTGTTTTAATTTTAACGAAGTATTTATTTATATTTGTAATAGGTAATATAATAAATTTTTGTTGAAATTACCTTAGTAAAAATTTGTAACATTTAAGTCTTTGTAAAGAATTTAACCTATGTAATGTGTTCAACTGTAAATTTTTGTCATGTTTTTAAATAAGTACAATGCCGGAAATAAATGGAACTTTGATATCTTGGAGAGCATGACATCTTTGTGCATGAAATATTAATCTACAATGTTAATATTAAATATTAACAGATGTTATGAGATAAAAATTGACTAATAATAAATATCTATATAAAATTCTTTTGAGAATACTTATTATAGTTTCAAAGTTAAAAATATCTTTATACTGACATTTTAAAGTATACTCTTAACTTTTGTATACTTAGTTTAGGTACACTAAAACAGCATGTAATATTGTATTTAATATTAAATACATAAATAAATATAAATATCATTTTAATACGCTTATTGCATTTTCTATTTAATATTTTCATACTTTCTGAAGATTTCACGAATTATTTCTTAACGTCGTGTTTCGTTTTATAGCAACCATTTAAAATACCGTACATGATTTAAAAACTATTAGCATTAAATCGAAATTACTATAACATGGAAAAAGTTTAATAATATACTTGTATACTTTCAGTTGGCAACGGGCACGTTTAAATAAAGATCCATCAGAGAAAAGGACTAATTATAAGAATAAATCGTAGAATAAATAATATTAACATTGTTTAAAGTAACAATTATATACATATGTTGTTTTCGTAACATATTGCTGCATGTTTAAGGAATTGAAATTTTTTTAACAGTATATATTCATTGTATAACTTATAGAATAAATCATACTAATTACATTGTAAAATAAATATATAACAATGGCGATATATTTTTAACAGGTAAACAAATGAGAGGTATATATTAAAAATTACAAATAAAAATATAAAATAAACTTAGTTTACAGAAACGAATTTTAAGTATGCGATACTTACATATAATATAGTTTCTGTGGCAATTCAATAAATTGTTCGATGGAAATTTCATGGTTTTGACAGATGCATTGAAATATTTATAGTTTTATAGTTTTATTACACGAGTCAAATTAAATGGGCAGTTCGACTGAGCAACTCATGGCTCCTTAGTAATTTCAATCAGCTCTTTATGATTAGTTTTATTTGGTCATAATGCTTTTACTTTAAGCTGCTTCATTCTTGGAGCTCGTTTTTTAGCAAGTCTTCGTTGTTCTTTTTCTTCCCATTTTCTTTGCTTATCAGGATCTTCTTCCTGTAGAATACGTTCCTTCTCAGCTCTACGACGCTCCTCTCTTCGCTGAGCGGCTGCTTCTGCTCTAGCAGCATGAGTTGTCTTTAAAAACGCCTCTTCAACTCTCAGTCTATTTTTATCAGTTTTACTTTTACCCTAAATAATAAGATATTTTATTTAATAACACATAAAAATCACAATATTATTTAGAAATAAACTATATCTCACCTCTTTAGATAATTTGAAACGTCTCAATTTATCTAATAAGTAAAAAGTTAATTGTAAAAGAAGTTTCAATTTTTCTTGACCCTCTGCATTAGTAGTACGTCCCTTAATACTTATATTTAATCCAACAAGTAGAACCCTCTTTACTTCAGGCATTGTTAACTGAGTTGTATCTCTAGAACATTGTATTAAGAAATAAATACAAAGTTGTGTACAATTTTCAGTTTAAATGTGTTTACTACTTACTCTTGTTGTTTGGGGCCACTAAATTGATCGCTAATATGTATATAATCTATGTATTGCGCAAATTTTGCAAATGCTTGTAAAACTCTTGTATCTAAAATAGCAGATGCTGCTTCAGCAATTTCAGACATTACATAAAAACCTGCTGGAAGACCAAATTTTTCCCCTGGTCTCTTTTCTGGGCAATAAACACTGATATCAGCCATATCACGTATTAAATGCAGTGCTGTCCTTTTTGTGGCTACTGCTAATACAAAATTATCTGTTTCATCTTTTGCTAATTCCACACGTATGTGTGCTTGATCATTCTGAGGGCGCACAAGTTGTGCTAATACTGCGACTAAATCTTGTCTTTTGATTAGTTTTAATTCTATTAACATAGAATCGCATCCAACTCGCCCTGAACAATATAAACTATAGTGAGATTGGCTTTCTTTTACCAAGCCATTTTCAGATGTCTCTTCGCTTGATTTCCCTGTGTCGCCAACAAGAGAAAAGTTATCAAGCAAAAGCTGCTTGTGCTCTATGAGCCACATCTTCGCTATGCGAGCATTTTTGGAACGTCCTGCTACATAATTAATGAAATACACTAATAATCCAATGACCATTAATATTTCTAGGTAAAAACTATCCCATCTGGCACGTAGATGAAGTGGTATTTTTGTAATGGTTAAAGTAGATGGTTCATTGCTTTTTGGGCCTGCATTTCCCCCAGCTGCATCTAGTCCTTCAAATTCTTCCTCATCTTGAAAGTGATCAAATTCACTGTCACCATCAACAATCAAAACATCTTCTTCTTCGAAATCTTGATTATCATTTGATTCTTTGAGATCATTGATTGTCTGAGATGGTTTTTCATCTTCAAAATCTTCAAATTCCGCAAATTCGTTATCTTCAGGCAGTTCTTCGTGAAAATGTGCAGTGACCCATATATTCGTTGCAACTAAGACGATGTGAACAACTACTAACCACAACTTCATTTTGTCTGAAACAAGAAAAGAAAAAATAATGCAAAAATTGCAAAATAATAATCATAATATTGTATCAAGAAAAAATACTATTTGATCATTATGTTCTCTCATGTATACGCGTACACGTAACTCTTCAAATAAGTATTTCTTAACGAGATGTCGAGTAGTTGGTCATTTTTACCGTAGAGGTTTAAACTATAAAATTTTCGTGTTTTCTTATTTAATGAATGTACTAACTTTATGGAGAATTTATATGATATTTTTCCAATTTATCGACATTGATTTCAGTTATTAATTGAACACAGTAATTTTTTAAATAAACAATACTGTCACAGCACCCTTTCGAGTAAGTGACTTGCACGCTATGAAATTAGCCACGGAGCACAACGTCATTTCCTTTATCAAAAATTCATTGTTAAAAATAGAAAACCAACATTGGTGATGTGTAAATTGACTCTTTTGAATACATTTCAAAATATGTAGTATTCAAAGATATTATATGCAATATAATGATCAGTCAATGAAAGAGTAAAATGCATACTTTTATTAAAAATATACAAATTATATAAAATTAATTATAAAAATTAGAAACTGTAAGAAAATAATACACTTCGAAAATATATTTTTAAATAAAATATTAACAGTAATAATACTGATATATGACTTACATATTAAAATAAATTAAAATATTTTTTTATAAACTCATTAAATAAAAATTTGTGAAAAGGTTTCGTATCAAATGAATAGAATTTATTGATTCAAAGTAGTATTATTTCTTTCAAAATAAATACAGTTGTAGATTAAAAAACAAGATCGGTAAAGTAAATTCCTTCTTAGTATTCGTAAGATGGCTTCCGCATGAACATCTGAAGTAGTATACTTAATGGTCAAGTGAGAGATCGATTCAGTACGTCCGTAGAAACGAGTGAGGGAACTTCTTTGCGCATGTTTTACTGTAATGGCTTTTCGCTGTCAAAATATGATATGGTCATTCTTGTATTGTATCACAACGTGTCGTGTACTGGCTCAGTGATTCGTTTAGGGATTAACTCGTAATTAACACGCGGGCTCGTAACAATTCTTGAATTAAAACCAATCGAACAAGTGGAAATAAAAAGTGTGCGTGTTGACAGTGCAAAACCTCCAAACAATGGATCAATATCTTGCGGTAGAGGGTAACATGCGGATACGACAGAAAATCATCGTAACTTTATTGTAACGCTTACCGTGTACACGCAAATTGTGTTCGAAAGCTCAAAAAGGTAAGTGTGTTTCCAGCAAAAAAAGTTACGACTCCAGTACTCGGAGCGTGTCGCGTAATGTTTGGTTAAGCTGCCTTTCAACCTTTCGTTTTTTCTTTCGATAAAAATGACAGAGCTCGTATTTAACATTCGCTTAGAACGAAACATTATGTGTAACAATATTACGTCGCTATTGCTTTAAGTTTTTATAATCGATTTCTTTCATTAAAAATACTTTTTCTTCCCGTGTTATTCTGTGAATGTATTGGTCTGTTATAAAGCGATAGAACTATGTTCCGATCAATTCACCAGCGCATATTAAATCCTACACATAATGGCACATCCTACACATAAAAAGTCACTCAAGTTCAAGTAGTTACGTCAACCGGTGTCATTCGTTACTTCACAATGCTTGCTTTCAAGAGGTATTTATTATTATTCAAGAAACGTAGTATATTTTTTATGCAAAACTTTTATTTTTTTCTTAGATATTCTACATAATTACTAAGGTATAATTTCTACGTAATTACTGATTGTTACGAAGGGCTTTGTGTACATTTTGAAAAACCACCCTTCTGAACACTGGTGCGGCGCAACGTAGATTTCTTTTAATATCAGAAGAAGGATACAAGATACAACATACGGTGATATAACCCGAGGTTATACAACGCATAGTAATATAACGCAAGATAATATGACGTGATATAACGCAAGATTATAAAACACGAAAATGTGCAGTACGTGATAATACAATATAAGGTTATGATGCGAGATACGCGGTAATATAATACGAGGTTATACAGCGCGAGGTTTATACAATATTAAACTATACAATACGGGTATATATTACAAGACAAAGTGAATCTACAACTCAAGGCCATACAAGACGTATTTTACAATCTCCTTTGAACGTCTGTAGAATTTCCCTAGATTCCTGATGTTCCAAGGTTTTAAAATCCTCTTCTTTTATCTAAAAGAAGTCTACGTCGCAAGAATGTACATTACACATAATTTTAGGATATAAAAATTTATACTTATAAATTAAAATGGTGTCGTGAACAAGTTCCTACGTCGACCTTGGTTACCATTGCTCCAGAATTTTACAAGGGACGTATTATTGATTTTGCGATTCGGTTGTGCGTGTTCCTTAGCTCACAGTTTCTTTTGGTTGCACAGGTGAGAATCGACGCCAACATGGACAAAGCGGACAATCAACTGAAAACCTGGAAAAAGAAAAGCATGAAGACGTGCAGTTTGACGGAAGTGGTGACCCAATGCGTCCAGGTGGTGGTGCGATGTAGGCCGATAGACGAGAAGGAGGTGTCCCGTGGCTACACGCGTGTGGTCGACGTATTTCCATCGCGGGGAGTGGTCGAGATTCGTCATCCTCGGGATGATCCGTCGAGCGATAACGTGAAAGTCTTCACGTTCGATGCAGTTTACGACTGGAATTCCAGTCAGCAAGACTTGTACGAGGAGACGGTGAGGCCGTTGGTGTCCTCCGTTCTCGATGGCTTCAACGGCACCATTTTCGCATACGGGCAAACCGGCACGGGGAAGACGTACACCATGGAGGGTTTGAAGAACGACCACGAGAGGCGCGGCGTAATCCCGCGGTCGTTCGAGCACATATTCAACCACATAGGGAGATCCGAGAACATGCAGTACCTAGTGCGGGCCAGTTACCTCGAGATCTATCAGGAGGAGATCCGAGATCTCCTGCATCCTGATCAGTCCCTGCGTTTCGAGCTGAAAGAGAAACCGGACACAGGAGTGTTCGTCAAGGACTTGTCCACGTCTGTGTGTAAGAGTGCCGCGGAGATTCAGCAGCTGATGAACACCGGTAACCAGAACAGAACAATCGGCGCAACGAATATGAACGAGCACAGTTCTCGGTCGCACGCGATTTTCCTAATCACCATCGAGATGGGATCCATCGGCGATTCCGGCGGAATCAGGGTCGGACGTCTGAACCTGGTAGATCTCGCGGGTAGTGAAAGGCAGAGCAAAACTGGGTCTTGTGGAGAGAGACTGAAAGAGGCGAGCAAGATTAATCTGAGCTTATCGGCACTGGGAAACGTGATCTCGGCTTTGGTGGACGGGAAGACCACGCACGTCCCTTACAGGGATTCGAAACTCACGCGATTACTGCAGGATTCTTTGGGTGGTAACTCTAAGACCATCATGGTCGCGAATATCGGGCCGGCCAGTTACAACTACGACGAAACCCTGACCACGTTGCGGTACGCAAACCGCGCTAAGAACATCAAGAATAAACCAAGAATAAACGAGGATCCAAAGGATGCTCTGTTAAGACAATACCAAGAAGAGATTGGCCGTTTGAAAGAGAAGCTGGCGCAGAAGGGTACGGTACCGAGGCGGAAGAAGAAGTCGAAGAGGAAGAAAGGAGACGAGACCGCGGAGTCTGAGTCTGAGACCGAAGATAGTCGTGGCGAAGACAACAACAAAGTGGAAACAGACAAGAAACTTATAGCGGAACAATTAAAAGCCGAGAAGCAAGAGACGGAGAATCTTATACTGAGAATAAGAGATCTTGAAAGTAAGATGCTATGCGGTGGAAAGAACATCATCGACCACACGAACGAGCAACAAAGAGCTTTGGAACAGAAAGCGGCCGAGATTGCCGAGCGCAAGAAACGGGAGGTTGAAATGCAGCAGAAGCTCGAAGACGAGGAGCTCACGATGCTGGGTGTGAAGGAGACGTACACGAACCTGCAACAGGAAGTGGACGTGAAGTCAAGAAAGCTTAGGAAATGTTTCACCAAGTTGCAGGTCTTGAAACAAGAGCTGGAGGATGTTACTAATGACTTTAACAGAGATAGAAGAGATCTGGAGCAAACGCAGCACGAGTTGATGAAGGAGTTGAAGCTGAAGTACCTCATAATAGAGAACTTCATTCCCGAAGAGGAGAAGAACAAGATCCTGTCGAGGATCCACCTGGACGAAGAGGAGGACTGCTGGGTAGTCAAGGACCCAGAACCATCCAGCATAGAGTTCATAAGGAGACCCACATCGGTCGCCGGTGCGCGCAGACCCGTTTCCGAATACGCGCGAATCGCCCTGGCCATGGGCAAGGGTTGTCGCTACGCGGGTGAAAATATATTGAACTTAGATCTGGATATGCCAGCCAGAACGACGCTGGACTATCAAGGACCCGCCATTGCGCCTACTATTCAAGCTGTTCTCGAAGAGGCCTTACGCGACGAGGGAGACATAGACGTGGACGCGTCGAACGCGAGACTCAGGTCAAAACCACGATTACAATCCGCGAAAATACGACCTAAGAGCGTGGGGAAGATCCCACAGATTCCAGCGCCCGTTTATCCGAAGACAAGAGGTCTTGTGCCGAAGTAGGAAATTCGAATACGTTTTGCTATGCGTCTGTAAAGAACCGTGTAAATACTGTACGAACTGCGTTGTCTTTGTCAGCTTTATTCGATTAATTTATATATAATTCGTTGTGATACGCCACATGGTCGTTGGTGTAACTAAGTAGGGGCCTGGGTGGGTAGACCCACCAAAAATTATTGGAAGTACAGTATTCCACGGTAGGTTTCTTTAGGGATAATGGTGATGCTGGGGAAAAGGCCATTTCACTGTAACATTCCAGAGGTATGCATTAGTTTGAGCGAGAGGAAGGAGGGGTAATTAGGAAGTCTAGGAATCTGAAGAATTGAGAATTCAGAGATTTGGGACTTTTGGAAATTTAGAAATTAAGAATTTTTAAATTTCTAAATTTCTGATCCCTCCAATCCTTATGTCGCCATTTTCCTTAAAGAGGACCACAGCTATTCCCTAGGTCTTTGTCCTCGACGTCGCCATTTTCTCTATGCAAGGCCCCTCCTTACACAAAATTTTAGTTACACCAATGCACATGGTATTATGTGCATCGAAATAGCCGAGATCTTGATAATTCTCTCTAGTCAGTGTGCACCATGCAGTCACGTGGTATTAATGTGTCGATTATTTCATTATTGCATTAATAAAACACGAAATAAAACGTCCTATGAACTTAGATTCCTACTTATTCTTTGAAGACTGTCATGTTTTGCATAGCTTTTAGTACTTGGTAAAAGAAAAAGAAAACGAAAATCAGACATTAGGTTACGTTGTAAAGTTATGTTTTTTTCACTCTTTTGTATAGTTAAACTTATTGTTAATTTTATTAGTACTATCGATGAGTATTAAGGAAACATGGTTCCTGGATACGTTTATAGTTTCGTTGAGACGTGAAAAATTGATACGCTTACGAGTATTTACAAATGAAGGTTAATTGTTTAGTCGGTTATTCTAATGCCCTTTTTACAACTATGTTTTGTTTTATTGAAAAATTACACATAATTGTTTTTCCTATTGTGTATATATATATATACATATACACATATATTTTTTTTTTAAACATTAAAAGTGCTTGTAAAAATAACATCGTTACTTTCGACTTCTTTAATATTTTATCACACGCATCTGAAACTGTTAAATTATAAAGATGATAAACGTATTATAGATGAATAAAATTTAATTAAAATTAGCCTTACATAAATTGTAATTCAGAGTAAAGATGTTCTTTCGTTTGAATGTTTTTCTCCTCTTTTTTTTTGTTTCTCTACTTACTTTCTTCCAGTTGTCATCGATCATTCAACTACACTCCGTTGTTGTAAGTCCATGTTCACTCCACGCTCACGCGATACACTTAAGAAAATTCGGACGTTTCTTAACACGTTCGCGCTCACTCATCTACCCGTAGCAGAAAAATCACGAGATCGTAAAAAACACGACAACATAAAATTCGATCTTCGAAGGACCTAAAACGCCAGATTAGGTCCGCGCAACGTAGAGTCAATATGCTCCATGTAATATATCGATAACCGTAAAATAGACCGCAACAAGTGGTCCAGAATTATGCTCGAACGTGTTAACAAACTTAAGTCTTGTCGTCGACGATGCCGGACACTCGTGGTCCAGTATAAAAATAAAGGAACGACACGAAAATTGAATTTACCACGCATGAAGAGAAACATGAAATCCGACAGGAAGTTCTGTGACAATGAAATAAGCGTATTTCCAATTTTTCTTTTTGTTCTTTTCCTGTAGAAGTGATCAGGATACCTTCAACCGGCGCAATCAATGGAAAACTCGATACAACGGACCATTAAACGTATTTTCATCATAAACGTATTTACAATTCATTGAGCGATCCTGATCAGTTCCATCGATCAATTCAGATTTTTGAACCAGTAACATTAAAACATTTGCACCAGACACTGGAATCAGTGCCCGCAAGGAGATTACTCCCATAACAATTGCAAACAGTTTCACAACTACGTAAAAGTTCGACACATTCTTTAGTACGATTAAGTTCAATGTCACTTTAATAAAAACGTTGTTGTTGTTGCGGCACATAATTCCCGTATTGTTGCTGCGGTGGTTGTTGAGGATAACTCGAAGGATGACCCGCGGGTCCACCGTACGAGGATCCATCGTAATTCGGTTGAGCAGAATATTGATTCGATGTCATGGACGGTCCACTGTATTGACCCTGATTACCTAATCCACCGTAACCTTGGTAATTATAACCATTGTCCATGTAACCTTGATTACCACTGTACATTTGTTGCGGATAACCTTGGAACTGTTGATTGGGCATGTTTGGATAACTCAAGGGAGGTCCTTGTGGACGGGCTAAGGGCTGTTGATTATTCTGAACATAACCTTGATTATAAAAATTCGACATCGAGGTTGTCGACGGATTGGACATCGAATCCAACGGTTTCGTTACAGACTGTTCGGTATTTTCGCTCGTGTGTGATTTCGGTACGTACTTGTTTGGAAGATCACCCATTATGTTAGCTATCAGCCGTTTGGTTTCGTTCAAGATAGCGTTTGGATCGTTAGTTTTTGTCAGCTCTTTCGACCGCACCGGAGAACGTGACCTTGACGGCGAACGAGAATGCGTCCACGATCTCGGCGAATTCGACACCGATTTCGAGAATCCTCGAGACTTGCTCTTTGCCTTTTCGTTTTCGCTGACGTTCTTATCCGCCGCTTTGTATATGTCCTCAAACGTGTAATCGTCATCGTCGTCCGATAAATCTAGTTTCGTTTTCGGCTTGTCCTCGTTCTCGTTCTTCGTCGGCTGTTCTTCTTCCTCGTCGTCGTTCGCGAACATGTCTATCTTGGGTTTCCATTTATTTTCCACCTCAATCGGGTTTTGGTTAGTTTTGTGAACGGAGAAGGGGGAGACACTTTTGCGCGACTTAATATTAGTCTCGATACTTTCTGGCGTTGGAGACTTTATTTTTGGCGTCGACGTCGACGTCGTGCCCAAATTAACGAACGCTCTCAATTTCTCTACCCGAACTGGGTCAGTCGCCTCCAACTTTTTCAAGAAATTTATTAGTCCATGCTGTTCTTGACTACTCAGATCTTTAAAATTTTGCAAAAGAGATTTCAACTCTGCGTCCGACATGCTTTCCATTCTGGAAGATTGACGTTCGACCGTGTCCGTCACCGTCGACCCGGTCGATGCGGACGTCGCAGTTTGAGGAAGAGAGCTGTTACCGCTCGCTAAACCTTTCACGAAATCTGCAGTGGTAACTGGCTTATCAGAATTCTTCGAAGCCTCTGCCATTCCAACGACAGCGTTGATAAGAGTCTCTAATTCTTCCTGCGACACGTTTGATCTACCCTGCGCCACAAGAGCAGCCGCTATCTGTTGAGCTATAGCTACCTTGTCCACAGTGCCAACACCAGGGACACTGACGGGTTCCGATTTAATAACGGGTGTAATAATCTCCACCGACCTCGGATAAACCGTTCTCGGTACGTAACTCGTCGACCTAGCAGCCTCCAATTCCCGTTTCTTCTTCTTCTCTTCTTCCATCTTCTTTTTGCTCTCTGACGCTTTGTGCAGTAGCTGCGCGATATTCTGTATCGCAGTTTTAGTCGGTGTTATCGCCATCTTTTCTATCATCCCCGCGAACAACTGACCCTTCAGCTTCTCTTTCACAGTTTCGAACAACACGCTCACTTCTTCGTCGTACAACAACTCCTCGGCAGAGTTAGGTTTTGCCTTTTCCGCTGCTAACGCTTTCGAAAGGAGAGATACTATCTTAGGGCCTAAAGAGCCTAGCTGACCTTCCAGTGCCGTGAGTAATCGTAACAAGCCGACGACTTCAAGGTCCTCGGTTAACACCTCCTCCGGTATGGGACTCGGAGATTTGTCTTTCACCGGATATGGTGTAGCGTAGTGTATTGGTCTTGTACGAGGAGGAAGACCGCGAGTGTAGTAGCTGCTCCTGTATACGCTTCCTCTGCCACGCATGTACGAAGAGTACGCGTACTCGCGTTCCCTAGCTTCGTGGCGATCGTAGTAATCGCTTTTGATTGTCTTTGTGCCGACATACTCTACCTCGTCGTCGCTGTCCACGCGATGACGACTCCTCTTAGGCGGAGATCGTTCGCGTCTGCTCGACGGGATCCATTTCTCTGGCGGTTTGTCTTCTGGCAACTCCAATCGTTTCCTAATCTCTTCTTTGCGCTGTTGTAGCTGCTCATTGTGGATCTCACGCATTCGTTTGTTCCAAAATTCGATCCATTCCGGCTTGAAGTCGTGTTTGCTGGGATCTTTACCTTCAGCCTGTAACTCTTTGTACCGTCTGTTCCAGAACTTCTTCCATTCGTCCGGGTACGAGGGGTGCTTCTCTGGATTCTTCTCGTGAAACTTTAACGCACGATCGAGGGTCTCCTCGGCACGTCTAATCTGCTCCCGATATTTATCCCACTTGTCGCGTTCCCTGAGCGGTTCCGGGGAACGTGACCGCGAACGCGTACGGGATCGTGTTCGATCCCGTGAATATCGCGATTTGCTGCCACGATACTTGCCACTTTTGTCTATCGAACTGTCTTTACGACTACGGATCGGCGAACGTGATCTCGAACGCGATGGCGATGGGCTACTCGATATGCTCGAAAGCGACGAGAGGGATTTGGTCTCGTCCGAAGGACGTTTGGGAGATTTTTTCACGTTCTCTTCATCTTTATCTAACGGTTTACGCATATTTAACTTATCCCTCGTAAGGATTCGAATCTTGAACCCCCTAAAAAAAATAAAACATGGATTCATAATCTAGTTCATTGATTTATTCAGATAGGAAATGATAGGATTGCGGTGTATATATTTTTGGTGCTTTCAAACATCACATCGTTCGAATAAAATTAAAGTAAATTAATTATAAACATATTAGACGTGTCTTAAGGAAGATAAAAAAATTAAAACTTCGTTGTGCGTAATTAAAAGCAAATATTTACTTACGATTTTGTCACATTCGATTTCGACTCCATTTTCTTCGGTGATGATTTTTCACTTTTCTTCTCTTCACTTTTGTGCTTATCGTCTAGTTTCTCATCGGCTGATTGAGAATCTTGATATGAGATCATTGGACAATTGAATATTGTTAATGAATGTTTTATTTTTGTAATATAATGTTAACGTATACTCACCTTTTTTTGAACCACTATTACCGGTTATTTCGGCCATCTTCTCTTCGAAGTTCGTTACCCATCGCACATCGTAAACTTCCATAAACGTTAATTCTGGCGTTTCCCTGCACGTAGGAAACAGCCATTGATTTCGAGGAAATGCAAGTTAAATTATCATTGCCGCGCACCTTGCCGAATCACGTCCATCGATTTTTCGTAAAACACGCGAACTGAGATACTTAATTCGTACGATGCACAAGGACGTGTTAAAGTTGAAAGTATTAGAAAGTATATGAATATCATGACTTACCTAAAGTGGTAATCCTGATAGACCCTCTTGATATATTGCATTTTGTTCTTTTCGTATTGGTTCTTGTCAACCAATTGAGGTTGTAATCTTCCAAATTGTTCTTCTATCTTCTTAGCCACTAACACCGATATTTCATTAGCTCCACGTTTATAATTAGGAGTACGCGGTAGTTCCATAATTGCTCGCGATATGGTTGGAAAATGTCTATTTAGATAAGTTATTCTGTGATTGTAACTGGTAATATGTGCCATAACGGTACGAGGATCGCCTCGTTTATCACACAAAACACATGTATAACTGGGTTCACAAGAATCATTATCGACCAATTCTAGGAGATATTCGAGACCAACTAGTGGAGAACTTCTGTGTCGATCCAGACTCATCTGAATCGTAGTTGTTCTAGTTATTTGGTCTTCCATGCCAGGCGGTACTGGTTCTCCAGGTGCTAGACTATCGCTAATGGCAGCCGACTGCACAGGTGGAGCTGATTTTGCAATGTCTGTTCGTTTAGACCATAATAAAACTGGATACGGCCATTCATCTAATTTCATTTTATGACGATTACACATATTATGATTTAATAATTTATGAGCCCCAAACAGAGCGATATTACATATATGACACCATATATCACCATCTTCAGTTTCAGAATACACAGGCCTGAGCGTGCCATCTTCGGCAGTAACACTACTCCTCATTAAACGTTTTCGATCATACTCTTCCTGTGAAATACAAATATCTTGTAAAACAGACAGACCACTGTCATTCCAAGTGTATATCACAGAATATCAAAAATAGCGTAGAAAGTATATTCTTGAAGGAGATAAAAAGAAAATTGGCGAAGTCTGATGCGAATAACATGTGAAATAAATTAATATATAAAAGTAAAAAATATATTTAGAAATTTGGTATTATGAAATTGTCTCAAAGTTGTTCTAAGCATTAGAAATAAGTACAGTTTCTCTAGTGTACAAATTTTGCTGTGCATTTACCTTTTCTTCATCTTCTTCTGTTAAATGAGAGGGATTACGACCCTCTATATCAAGATCATCAAAGTTTTGCATGATTGATCCACGTCTATGAAAAATTCTCACCACGATTTCTGAAAACACAAAAATGCTATGATGTATGAGAAACAGAATTTGCAGCATTAGGGTTGGCAAAAAATCATAAAGACTAGAGATAAACTTATATAAAGTTAATATTACTAGAAAAGAAATTTTTAACTACTGAAATTTTTAATTACTTTCATTCAAAGAAGTATATAACTAATAAAAGAATAGTTGTAATCTGAAGGTTGTAAATTATGAGTAATCAATAATATTTATATTGGTAATTTGTAAACCAACCCTGCAGCAGCAGTCATCAAACTGTTCATCACTAATTCTTTTGATACACCTTATTACAATAAAGCTACAAATTTTAATAAACTATACTTACCCGCATAAGGTTGTACATATTAATATTTAAACAATTTATGTACACATATAACATTATTTAAATGTGAAGTTTCCATAAACATTTAAATTTAAATTACAACTAAAATCTAATCATAAAACAAGATAGATAAATACCTACAATCGATGTTGTAAAATATTACTGAACAGATAGTTTCAGCAACAAAGAATACAACATCGTTAAACTTTTAAATGCATTCTAAACAATTCATTGTAATATGTGTCATAAGATAAATCAATTCTTATGCACGTACTTACACATTTAGGAAATTTTACAGAATAAATATATTCCTAAGAAAATCAATGAAGATTTATGAAAATAAAGATCAGTAAATTTTTGTCATTTAACACAAAAACTAACATATACGATAACCACCGTTATAATTCACAGTTTTGCTGGAGTATAAAAATGAATCTCCAGCTACTTACCGATGAAAAGGAAACCTCATATTTCCAATAATGTTTCCGGGATGCACAAGAGCACAAAACATTAAATGAATTATAGCATGTAAAGACACTAATATCACGCAAAGTTAAGAATTAGAATAACTTTGCAGTTTATGCTTAAAAGATAAAATATATAGCTGTTTATGTCAACTGAAATCATGTTATATTTAATATTGACACAGCAGAGGTAGACAATACTGCAAAACTGATTGCAACAGGAGAATGAACGAGACATATAAACAATGTGTGTCTTTTTTATTAAGCAGAGCTTGCTTAAACAAATGATGTTGCTAATAACATAACAAAATTATTGAATGAACCTGTAATACACGCAACCAAAAGGTTATCGAATCGAATATAAATTCGCAACGAGTCAATAACGTAAATATTACATTGAATTCACGCATGTCGCTAATTTTTAGCAACCACAATTATAGCAGAATGGCGTTTTCTTGATCGTTACTTAACCCTTCGTGCCCTACGAGCAGTTTTTATTTTTTTTCCGCCACTTTAACGTCTAAATCGTAACCTCCGAAAGTAACGAGTCAAAATGAAAGGTGTACAGAAAGACGAAGAAAAGAGTAGGTTCGACTTACCAGATTACCAATACACGACAACCACATTTAGCAATTCTTCCTGCATAAGCTTTTGATTCTTTAATTTTTTTTCTGATAGACCCTTTTGGTGGCCATATCGAAAAAGAAATACTGGATGAATGTAGATCTGCGCATGGCTGGCCTGCATATACTTGGGTAATTACTAAATAGGAAACTATAATACCAACCGAATCCTTTTCCTGTTTTTCCAACATTCGATAAAGAGAGATGTAGATAGAACGAAATGGCAGATGAGGGTGGGTCATTCCATGCCAAATCGATTATTTTTTGAGACAAATTCTGTTGTATAGTATAGGACAAAAGTATTTTGCTTCGATGCTTTGTTTAAAAAGTTATTTTTTATGGAGGTCTTTTAAAAATATGAAGGATAAGAAATTATATTTATTGAATGTATGTTGTTTATTTATTATTTTAAGGGTTGTTTAAGGGTGGTTGATGATTATTGTTTAGAATACATTGAATTTTTATTAGTTTTATTATTTCTGTTGTTATTATGTATGAGGTATGTTCAGGTGGATTTTGGAAAGATGGAAATTTTTGAGTTTGAGAATTTGGGAATTGGACAGTGTGAGAACTGGACAATGTGGGAATTGGACAATATGGGAATTAGACAATGTGGGAATTGGACAATATGGGAATTGGACAACATGGGAATTGGACAATGTGGGAATTGGACAATGTGGGGACTGGACAATATGGAAATTGGACAATGTAGGAATTGGACAATATGGAAATTGAGGAATGTGGGAATTGGGGAATGTGGAAACTGGGGAATGTGGGAATTGGGAAATGTGGAAACTGTGGAATTTGAGAATTTGGGAATTTGGGAATTGGGAAATTTAAGAACTAGGGAATTAGGAAACTGGGCAATTTGGAAACTAGGGAATTTAGTAACTGGGAAATTTGGAAATTGGGGAATTTGGAAACTGGGGAATTTGGTAACTAGGGAATTTGGAAACTAGGGAATTTGGTAACTAGGGAATTTGGTAACTAGGGAATTTGGTAACTAGGGAATTTGGTAACTAGGGAATTTGGTAACTAGGGAATTTGGTAACTAGGGAATTTGGTAACTAGGGAATTTGGTAACTAGGGAATTTGGTAACTAGGGAATTTGGTAACTAGGGAATTTGGTAACTAGGGAATTTGGTAACTAGGGAATTTGGTAACTAGGGAATTTGGTAACTAGGGAATTTGGTAACTAGGGAATTTGGTAACTAGGGAATTTGGTAACTAGGGAATTTGGTAACTAGGGAATTTGGTAACTAGGGAATTTGGTAACTAGGGAATTTGGTAACTAGGGAATTTGGTAACTAGGGAATTTGGTAACTAGGGAATTTGGTAACTAGGGAATTTGGTAACTAGGGAATTTGGTAACTAGGGAATTTGGTAACTAGGGAATTTGGTAACTAGGGAATTTGGTAACTAGGGAATTTGGTAACTAGGGAATTTGGTAACTAAGGAATTTGGTAACTAGGGAATTTGGAAACTGGGGAATTTGGAAACTGGGGAATTTGGTAACTAGTGAATTAGAAAACTAACGAATTTGGAAACTGGGAAATTTGGAAACCGTGGAATTTGTTATCTCAGAACCCAGCAAATCTGTAAAATAGGAATTTAAGAATATATTAATTTAGAATTTCAGAAGTTAGGAATGTGTCCTCAAATTTGGAAACTAGGGAATTTGGTAACTAGGGAATTTGGTAACTAGGGAATTTGGTAACTAAGGAATTTGGTAACTAGGGAATTTGGAAACTGGGGAATTTGGAAACTGGGGAATTTGGTAACTAGTGAATTAGAAAACTAACGAATTTGGAAACTGGGAAATTTGGAAACCGTGGAATTTGTTATCTCAGAACCCAGCAAATCTGTAAAATAGGAATTTAAGAATATATTAATTTAGAATTTCAGAAGTTAGGAATGTGTCCTCTGTAGAAATTCAGGAATCCACTGATTTACACATTTTAAGACGCGCCATTACGAAATACAGAAAAGAACACAGACGATGAATTTAAACACCTGAAAATTCGTCTATTAGGAAATTTCTGAATTTCTAATGATCCTCTCCCTTACATAAGTTCATGGTTACCTGAAGAAGGGAGAGGGAACCCGGTCCTCGGTTACACGAACGGTTCATTGACAATCCAAGTGTGTGATCTCATAAGCCTCACCGGTAAGAGTACGTTCGCGATCAAGTAAACGCCAGTAGCGGTAATCCGTGGTGTTGTGGAAGTAACTGTAGCAGTAGGGGTCTAACATGTGTTTGGTCCGGGTACCTGTTATACGGTCAGTCAGTCGGTCATCGTCTTTCGCTCGTATTCTATGAAGATTCAAGAAAATCACGAATGTTCGTACATCGAGAGATTCGAAAATGATCCTCAGATACTTCTCGATTCGTCTATTGCAAATGGCAACCCTGATCAGCGTGTCGTTCGCGTCGGAAGTGCGATGGACCGTTTTATCCTGGATGTCCAGCGGTATTTGCACCATGATCATCTTCCCGTCGAGCACGCATCAGTGGTCCCTGCTGGGTCTGAATTTTTGGTCGACCGTCGAGAAACCATCGAACGATTTGAACAGTAATCCAATCTCGAGGGGTAAGTCGAGTGATATTGCGTGCCTCTTTTGTCCCGTGTTTGAGCTACTTTTTCGAGGATCCTTCCGCGAGATTGTGTTTGCTACAGGACATGTTTGTTGCGGGCATTACCGCTCAAAGTGTTTGTTTCTACGTAGGCTGATGGGATTCTTGGCACGGGGACAGGGAAACGTTGGTGAACTTCCTTTCGCAAGAAAGAGGAGCTGTTTCTTTGTACGACTGCGGAGGAAGCGTTTCTTATCCGCTTTAAGATTTCTGGCTTTTTTCGGGGCTGTGGTTTGTTACGGGATGTAGAGATTTGTGGGGTTGGTTTGGAGGTTACTGGTTTGGGAGTTGGGAGATTTGGGAAATTAGGAAATTTGGGAATTTGGAAATTTTGGAAATTTTTGAGATTTGGGAATTTTAGGAATATTGGAAATTATTGAAAATTTTGGAATTTTGGTAATTTTGGAAATGTAGGAAGTTTGGAAAATTTAGGAAATTTAGGAAATTTTGGAAATTATGGAAATTTGGGGAATTTTTAGAATTTTTGAATTTTGGAAATTTAGGAAATTGTGGGTTTTGAAATTTAGAGATTTGGAAGTTGGAAAATTTGGACATTTGGAGGTGTAAAAATTTAGAGATTTGGAAGTTGGAAAATTTGGACATTTGGAGGTGTAGAAATTTAGATATAGAAATTTGGGAATTGGACAATGTGGGAATTGGACAATGTGAGATTTGGACAATGTGGGAATTGGACAATGTGAGAATTGGACAATATGGAAATTAGACAATGAGGGAACTGGGGAATGTTGGAATGTGGAAATGTGGAATTTGTTGGAGAATTTGGAAATTTGGAGATTTAAAAATCTTGAGAGTAAATTAGTTGACAAATTTGGAATTTTCTAAATCTAGATTAGTAAATTCAGCTTTGTAAGTTAGGAAATTCAAAAAATTTTGGAGATATCAATTTTATATATTTGAAAGTTAGGAAATTTAGAAATTTTGGTGATACCAAATTTATATTTGTAAATTAAGAAATTTCAAAATTTGAAAGAAATCAACTTCAGATTTCTAACTCAAAAAATCTAAAAATTCAGCAATTCACAAATTCCACAATTCCACAATTTAAAAATCCCTATACTAATATCCTCCAATCTACATAAGTAGTTTCCTTTGCGTCCGTCCCCATTTATCCAACCCCGCAATTCCCTGTATCCTTCCATCATCATTTTCCTATCTTTCCCCACAAAAGATTATAGTTACGCCAATGGTTGTTTGCAACCCTCTGCAGTTCTGAACTTCTTTCCAACCCCGGTGCAAGAAGAGTGCCTATCGCAGGACAAACGACGACGAGGAGTATGCATGAACACGTATGAGTGCCGCATTCAACAAGGGAAATCCCATGGACGATGTGCTCTCGGTTTTGGCGTGTGTTGCATATGTAAGTACAAACTGTTATTTTCGATGTGTAAACGTACCATAAATTACTCGCTGGAATTTTTCAACTGGAAAATAAGCGAATCAGTGCGTACGCGTGGTTTGTTAATTTCAGGTAGTCATGTTTACTGTTGATCATTATTGTTTTCTGTATTCGTGCATACCATTTTCTATGTTGTAATACATAATTCATCCATTTCACGAACGATGAGCTTGCAAAGAATTTACATGTCAGCTAATTTACTCTTCCGGCATAAAAATTTATGTTGTTCTTTTTTTGAGGCGTTCTTTTTTTAAGCACTGTTTTTATTGAATTCAGGATTCAAATTTATTTATAATTTTTATAGAGCAAATTGTTAATTCATAAGTGAAAATACTTTCATTGTAAAAGTAACATAACATGGATTACATAAAACAAAAAACATAATGTAACATTTCATTATAAAATAACATAACATTTCATTATAAAATAATATATACAATTATTTATACATACATAAATTACTATAAGAGAAATATAATTCTAAATATGTATTTTAAAATACTTAAGAAAAATGAAAGAAAATAGGTTATTTTAACAAAGTGTTGATAGACTCTATTTACAACAAAATGGCGGATGACCATCAAAATGGCGGACAAGTTCAACCGCTTAACATTTGTGATTTCATTTAAGTCACAGTATATCGAATTATTGCGCGAATACGCGTTCTGTAAACATCGGAACAGAGTTTAAGAGATCTTTCTAACTTCATAACAAAATTAAATAAAACTTCCACTTATCTTCACTGGCTGTTTCCACCCACATCGTGTTCTGTCAATCGTAAATTGCTCAGTCTTCTGTATGAAAGCACTTACACGTTGCATTCTCATTTCGCGTGAACATTTCATGGATATCGTGTCTGAAACTTTGCCACGCGATGTACTCTACCATTAATATCAGTAGACTGAACTTGCTTCAAGATTTTACTATTTTCGTACTTGGAACTTTTGTCACAATGTGTATACAGCGTTATGTAATTTGTGATTGTGCTGGTCAAAAATTTGTATCACTTTTGTAGATGATATGTGGAATTGTATTCAATGTTTTATGGGGAAGACATTTTGGAGAGGAGATTTAATATTTTAGGGATAATATAGTTATTCATAGATGATTTTTAATAGTTTAGAGATACACTTCATAGATAATATTTAATACTTTAGAGACAACTAAATGTTCCACAGAAAATATTTAATATTTTAGAGATAATACAGTTGTTCATAGATGATATTTTATATTTTGGAGATGATTAAGTACTTCATAGATAATATTTAATATTTTGTAGATAATACAGTTGTTCATAGATAACATTTAATATTTTGAAGATGACTAAATATTTTATAGATAATATTTAATATTTTGTAGATAATACAGCTGTTCATAGATAACATTTAATATTTTGAAGATGACTAAATATTTTATAGATAATATTTAATATGCTGTAGATAATACAGCTGTTCATAGATAACATTTAATATTTTGAAAATGACTAAATACTTCATAGATAATATTCAATATTTTGTAGATAGTACAGCTGTTCATAGATAACATTTAATATTTTGAAGATGACTAAATACTTCATAGATAATATTCAATATTTTGTAGATAATATAGCTGTTCATAGATAACATTCAATATTTTAAAAATGACTAAATGCTTCATAGATAATATTTAATATTTTGTAGATAATAAAATAGTTTATGTTCAATAAAATATTTTTAATACAATATTATTTTACCACTTTTAGTAAAGATGTATTTGCATGTTAGGTTAGGTATGAAGTTTTAATTTTATTTTAACACTTTGCAATGATATCTACAATTAAATCAAATAATTTTACTAAATAATCTGCTATATTATTATAAATATAACTTAGTTTCAGTTAAAATAGTTTTTGAGTAAATAATTTAGTTAGAATAATTATTTTATTAAATGAGGTTATGATACAAAAAACTTTCGATTACCCAAAGTTTGCACGAAAACCTCGCACCACCTAATAGATAATGCAAACGTTTAGTGATTTCGATTATAGTTGACAATTCAGGCGAGTGGTGGTTTTACTTAATAGGATTATCGGTGGTCGAGCAATAAGAACTATCAGCAGAAACTTTATCGATTGCGACTAAGTACAGATTAATTTTTAGCAGCTAATAGGGAAACCGTCAAAGTAAGAAGTTAAATTTGAAATACGGCTTAATAGAGTAACCGATATCTCGTATTTAACGTAATCCAATAATTAAAACGACGTTGTAAGTGAAAGTTTTAATATCATTGTATTAACAATGAAGTCAATTGGAGATGGAAATTCAGTTCCATAATGAACAGAGATTTTATACATAAGAGAAATTCATGTAAATTTGTACAATTTGGTAATTGATATTTCATGTTTAATATTTAACGTGAAAATGTTATATGAAATTTTTATCTTTAATATATTAAATACTGTATGAATATAGTTATCTATGAAATGTTAAATATTGTACATTAAATATTTAGTTGCTTGTAAAATGTTTAATATTGTCCATGAAATATTTAGTTGTCTCTAAAATATTTTATAAAATATTCTATACTTGTTAAATGAATAACCTATTTTATACAGGGTGTCTCACAATTAGTGTAGGTCCCTGAAATGGTAGCTGATGTGATTCTGAATAAGATTTCCCTTTGCAAAAATGGCGTTTGAAGCTTCGTTTTTGAATTATTAAGGAAAAACACGGACCAAGTAGAGCGCGAGGATTAGTACGCGTTGGATTGCTACGCGTTGGTTAACTACACGTTAGATTACCACGCGTTAGATTCCTACGCTTAGAATTACTACGTGTTGCATTATTACGCGTTGGACTAACACGCGTTGAATACCCACGCGCTGGATTACTACACGTTAGATATCCACACGCTGGATTACTACGCGTGAGATTACCACGCGTTAGATTCCTACGCTTAGAATTACCACGCGTTGCATTACTACGCGTTGGACTAACTCGCGTTGAATATCCACGCGCTGGATTACTACGCGTTAGATATCCACATACTGGATTACTACGCGTTAGATTCTCACGCATTAGATTCCTACGCTTAGAATTACCACGCGTTGCATTATTACGCGTTGGATTACTACGCGTTGAATATGCACGTGCTAGATTATTACTTGTTGGATATCCACAAGCTGTATTACTACGCGTTGGATTACTACCCGACTGGATTACTATGCGTTAGATTCCTACGCTTAGAATTACCACGCGTTGCATTACTACGCGTTAGACTAATACGCGTTCAATATCCACGCGCTGGATTACTACGCGTTAGATATCCACACGCTGGATTACTACGCGTGAGATTACCACGCGTTAGATTCCTACGCTTAGAATTACCACGCGTTGCATTATTACGCGTTGGATTACTACGCGTTGAATATGCACGTGCTAGATTATTACTTGTTGGATATCCACAAGCTGTATTACTACGCGTTGGATTACTACCCGTAGGATTGCCACGCGTTGCATTACCACGCGTTGCAGTACTACGCGTTGGATTACCACACGCTGGATAACTACGCGTTATCCGAAGCTGTCGTTTTCGCATCTGCGCATGCGTCCCTCATGTCTGCGCATGTGTAATCCTCGTGCTCTGGTTGGTTCGTGTTTTTTCTTAATAATTCAAAAACGAAATTTCAAACCCCATTTTTGCAAAGGGAAATTTTATTCAGAATCGCGTCAGCTACCCCCCATTTCAGGGACCTACACTAATTGTGAGACACCCTGTATATTTCATAGAATATTTCATAGAACTATTTCATATAATATTTCCGAAATATTATTGTTAAATCAATTACCTATTTTATACAATATTTTATGGAAGGTTTTATAGAAATATTTCATAGATCTATCTTATAGAATATTTCCGAAATATTATTGTTAAGTGAATTACCTATTTTATGGAATATTTTATAGAAATATTTCACAGACCTATTTTATAGAATATTTTATAGAAATATTTCACAGAACTATTTTACAGAATATTCTGCATTCGTTAAATGAATAACTGTCTCACACAATATTTCTAAATAATACCTGAAAACGTAGAACTCCATGGAAATGCGCGAATCTGGCACACAAAAACAGAACACGTAGAACAAATTTTCAATTAAGTTCGATACAAATGAAAAAACTAAACATCGATCTCCGTTGAAACATTAAATCCCCAACTGTCCTCGATTCGTTTTACGTTATTTATGTATATAACCCAGTGAGCTAAACTCGGTCTTCCAGGTACTCACTCCTTGTACTTTGCTTTTATTAATTCATCCACTTACATTTCTCATATTCGCAATATTTTTGAAAATAGCACCGGAATTAATCAAACTGTTGGAATTACAGTGTGAAGCTTTATCTTTGTTGCCGCAGCTTTATTTTTCTTGCCACGGTTTTAATCTGATGATGCTTGAATGGATCATGCTTCGCTATTCCATCGCTTTTTTTCTCTTTTTGAAAAATATTTCTCTTGGAAATGGGAGAAAAAATTTTTGCGCAAAGAGATTTTAAGGTAGTTTCATGGGAACAGCCTTGTGTCTTTGATCGAATTCTTGGAATGGAAGGGTATTAGCTGTAATAAGAATTCGTCTGGTGTACTCTACGATAAATCACTTTTGGCATGCTCCAAATTCAATCTGAACCTTCTTAGGTTCTCAACCTTTCTTGATGTTCAATTTCAATTTATTATCGAGTCTGTCTTTGAAGTTCTGAATTTTGGGATGTTCAAATATTTATGCTCAAGAATTGGAAATTTGAACTGTCAGAAATTCGCACGTACCCAAACTATAAAATTCTTTTCAATTCTAAAAATTATTTAATTCCCAAACTTTTAATTTTTAAATTCTCAAATTCCAAAATTTCAAAAATTCTCAAGTTACCAAACTCTAAAAAATTTCTAAATCCCCAAATCCCCAAATTCCTAAATTCCCAAATCCC